TAAATAAAATAACTAAATACTGTAAACAGTATTCCCAGATAGAATCTTCCTTTTTACAAGATTAATTTTTATCTATTGCATTTTTCAAACAGGTATCTAAATACTACGGATTTCTAGGAAGTCTGTGATGCTTTTGCTACATTATTACTGATGTAATTATATAAAATTAAATCAGGTTATAAAAACAGCAAATGCACAATAATCTATTGTATTATATGGATATATTCGCTCTGAGGAAAGATAACTACATTAAAGAAAAATTTTAAGAAGAGCCTGCATCACTCAGGAATGCAGTGCAGCAGTTGTGGCAAAACTCTTAAATTCTTAAATGAAGGAACAAATTAAGATCTCAAGTACCTGCAGGCTGCCAACTTACAGCTGTCACATATTGGTATGATGAATGACTTTAAGGTTTTACCTACGAAGTATTGGATAATCAGGTAAGTATGTTTAAAAATGTGATTACAATACAGTCTTAAGCATGGCATTCTTACCTCCCATGACACCTGAGCACATGCAGCAGATCTGCATGCCACTTGAGGGGGCTTGCACTGATCTGGTGGTCCAGGTGCTGTAGTTATTTCACATTTTTCCGAGTAAGGTCCAAACTATTAAAAAGGGAGTTGATACAACTAAATTGTAAAAATAAAATTACTACTTTATAAATAACATTTTACCATAATAGAGACATATAATAGCAGCCTGAAACTTTGTATTTCTTGCTTATAAAATAAATCTTTGTGGACTGTGGATTCAGGATTTATTTCAGTATCTGACTATTCTCCAGAAGAGCTGCAAGACTCTTCTTCTTTATAGCAAATGCAATCAGAATAAATTTGACACTTCAAACTCTCAGGCAAAACAAGTACTATCTAAATCTTTATTTTGAAGTTACATATGATGGCTGCACTGTAATGTAACACAATTTGTAATTGCCTATTTGTATCTATCTAAAAGAAATAAAGGATTCAAAAAATGCTTGAGCTATAAACCACTCTTTGTGGGGGGCAGATAAAAAGTTAGGTCAGTGCTTTAAAGCCTTAAGCTGCAGACATCTCCACAAACAGTATCAACTAGCCTGCTAGTTTTATGAAGAGAATGTTGTTGTACAAATGCAAGCAGCCCTGCCCCTCTGTCTTTAAATCAGGACTTTGGATACATAATTAAATAAAGCATGTTCTACAGCAACAATTGATTTAAACACATTTAATACTCCAAATAGAGAAAATATTCTTGTATCTGATAGAATCTGTACTCAGAAGTTAAACTAAATATAAAAAGGAGAGAGTCAGGAAATGCTAATTATTATGTTCTAGAACACCTAACAGCTGTAAAAATAAAGGTCAATCAATTTACAAAGATGTATACAGAAAATAATTTACTACCTTACTTCACATGAGAATATTAAAGTTGCAACAATGCTGTGATAAAATACTTAGCATTTCCTAACCATTTCCCAATGCTATTATTCAGATATAAGGCATAATTAGCTGTTTTCTCTTCCCTTCATCTAAAACCCCCTTTATTATAAGCTGATGTTTAACTGCGTGTTCCCACACAACAATAAGCTATGTGAATCAAATGACTCTGCATTAGGAAATCCTCATTTTAAAATTACTGTTAAATGCTTCTTTTAAAAGAGAAAATCCTTAATAGTGATTGCAGTCTCTGGAACTAATTGCATTTCAGACTGCCTCCTTACCCCAGCCTTGTTAGCTGCTCGCAGTCTGAAGTTGTACATCCTCCCTGGAAGAAGGCTGCCTACTGTGCATTCAACATCAGAGCCTTGGTAAACCTCTCTGTGTTCATCGGTTTCTGTCTGAAACATTTCCAGACCATAACAGGTAATGGGTGAACCACCGTCTACCTGAGGTGGTCCTAAAAATAAGAAAGAAAGAAAAGCTTATTTAATTTTAACACATACCACATTTGGATCCCTTACACTCACTAATAGTTTTAATAGTTACCCCAGCGCAGCTGAATTTCTCTTGCTCTTGGTCTACCCTGTAGCCTTGGAGGTTGGCATGGACCAGGAACCACTGCTGGTGTCTGCACCAGTAAAGAATCAGATGCCTACAAAGGAAAGATAGATTAAGTAAGTCATCTAGGCCAAAACAAGCACTATCAATTATGCCACAAATAAAGGCAAATACTTGAGTCAGAAACAGGATCTTCCATTTTTTGAACTACATCTCCAAATACATGAAGATGCTTAAGTGATCTGGTATGTATTTCTCGTATCTATATAAAACATGCTACAGTAATCACAAAATATGCAAAAATTAACTTTCGTTTTTCTGTTTTGGTACACATGCAAGGGGTAAAATTAAAAACAGTGGTTAATTATCAGTACAAACCTAGTATAGATGCTTGAAATATGACTTGTTCAATGTAAACTCATTCTCTTTTCCATCAAACTACAGTTTAATGATTTCTAAAACCTTACTCTGAGGGATGTATACTTTCTGTGCAAGAACCTCTCAGAAAGCAAAAGTGAGCAGAAAGGTCAATCAGAAGAGATCAAAAAAATTGAGATTTCAACTTTTTCATTGCTTAGTAATACTTAATGTGCAACTTCCACCTCTGATCTGAAGTGCGTGCAAAACTACATAGCATAACAACACCCAGCAGATGGCATTGACTATTCTGGATGCAGACATAAATGAGTCAGAGACAATGCGGGGTTATTAGCTTCAGTGTGATACAGAACAAATATGAAGTTGGTAAGCCTTTTAGTTTACAAGAGAGATGCATCTTAGAGTCTCATTTCATAACTTCTTTCTACATATGTTCCAGAAAGAGTGGGTTGGAAGCTCTGCTGCTTTTCAGTTCCTTTGAAATGTATCATTGCACTGAACAACTGATGTTACTTAGAAAGCAGAATGTTTCTCAGGAGGCATATGTCTATGACAAGCTACAGAAAAGTTTAATTACATCTTTCTTTACTATTCTTCTGTTGATTTCTGATACCTTCAGAAAGTATCAGGACTTTCTGAGAGTTATTTTCTCTTTGGTACTCAAATAATGTTTATTCGAGACTAATGGGGTTGGGCTGTGGCGAAGGAGGTTGGCAGAGCAAAAGTCTCCAAAGACATACATGCACCTGTGGTCAGGTGACTGGGAAGTATACTGCCTTCCCCCTTCCCCTGTACAACAGCAAGCTGAGCTATGGTGAGAGGGAAAGCATTGCAGCTGAGCCAGCACTGAAGGAGTCCAGGTTCATTCTTAAGACAAGGTGTCTGTGGGCAAGGCTATCTTTGCAGGAGACTTCTATGTGGAGGAAGAACACATGAATTTCATATAGTAAAGGGGGGCTGAGAAAGAAATGGCAAACACCAAGAATGCAAGGCTTTAAGATTTTCAGGAGATCAGCTTGACATTTTGGCACTGGAGGCTGAACTACAGTCACAGAAGTGACAGTGCAAGTGTGGTGTATGTAATGTGTATATATGAGAGAGCATAGTACGGCACACCAAATTGTTTGGGAATACTGAAAAGTAGGGCAATGTAAACATTTTGATTGTGGCTGAGACAGCATAGGAAGAGACTACGGAGCACAACCCTGTAAAGCCTGAGGAAACACTCTGTCCTCCCCTGCCTGCTGGGCTGACTTGGCTGCTCAGACAGGGTACTCCACTGACCACATGGTAAACATTTAAATTTACATTCCTGTCTTGGGTTAGACCTTAAGAAATGACATTCTATCAATGTATCACACAGGAAAAGACATAGTATCTGTTTCTGTAAATAAGAAAAAGCACTTTAAAGAAAATACAGTGTCAGAAAAGAATACTCACATTTATTTCTTTAAGAAATGGGAAGAAACTTGAAACACTGTGCATCAATACTGGAACTTTTCTGAGGTACTAATTACGGCTATTTTGTTAGGCACTTCTGTATAATATTTGCTTATTAACTACTGGACCAGATTTTCTTAAAGAGAGAGAAATTTTATTTAATAAAAATATTAGCTCATATTACCATGCTTTGTCCTCCTTCCCCAATGCAATATACACGTAAGCGATAGGAACAGCCAGGATTTAGTCGGTCACACACATGTTCCCTAGCAGCTCCACTGTATATTGTGTCCCATTTGTTTCCTGAAAGGTTAGGAATAAGTGTGCAATGAACCAAGGTGTAATTTGCCACATTTCAGTACCAACCTACACTGGTATCCTAGGCTTCACTAAAGAAGTGTGTGCCTGATGCTTATCAAAAAAATGTAAGGCTTGCTTTGAGTTTCCTGGAAAAAGATCCAATAACTTCATAAAGATAGTTTCGTAGGTAAATTTGTGTAGGTCTGTTGAAGTGAAATATCTTCCTTATTTGGTATTCACATTAACTAGGAGAGAATTTACTTTTAATGAAGTAGTTATTACTGGGCCAGCAAGCACATTCAAACATCATAACCAAATAAATAGGGAACATACAAAACCAAAATTTTCCATGGAAAACAAACTTTTAATTACAACATTCATTTTGCAGACTGTAACTACAGTTTACAATTGATAAAGCTTGTTCCTGTATTCCTGAATGGCCCAGCACTATCTGAAATACTGATTTCATTCTTTGCTATTCAGCCAGATTCTTAAATCAGAAACTCTTTAGCATTCTCTTTCTTTTTAAGAGATTAAGCAGGGAACCTGGGGACTTTTAATTAAATCTTCAACAACTCAATACATCACAGAATTTAGAGGACTGGGAATGAAACATAGTGCACAGCTCACTAAATCTGCATGAAAGGCTCGGGTAAATCATTCCAAAAGTGACTTAATGTGGACATGCGATGGAATAAGGAAAGTGATAGACTAAGTATCAAAAGAACCACAGCTGAGACCCCTGATAGGGCTGCCATTACAATCTGGGGACAGTGTGCTGTCTTAATCTCACACAGCACTGTAGAAGTATAAACTTTCATTCTCAGTGTCATGGTTTAATCCCAGCTGGCAACCAAGCACCACACAGCCGCTCACTCACTCCCCACCACGCTCAGTGGGATGGGGAGAGAATCGGAAGGGTAAGAGTGAGAAAACTCGTGGGTTGAGATAAAGACAGTTTAACAGAACAGAAAAGGAAGGGAAAATAATAATAATAACAACACCACCACTAATAATGATAGAATATACAAAATGAGTGATGCACAATGCAATTGCTTACCACCCGCACTGACTGATAACCAAGTAGCGATCACTACTTCCTGGAACATGCCTACCATTCATATACTGAGCACGACGTCACATGGCACGGAATACCCCGTTGGCCAGCTGGGCTAGCTGTCCTGGCTATGCTCCCTCCCAGCCTCTTGTGCACTTGGCAGAGCATGGAAGCTGAAAGTCCTTGACTATAGGGTACTTAGCAACAACTAAAAACATCACTGTGTTATCAACATTCTTCTCATACTAAATCCAAAACACAGCACTAGGAAGAAATCTAACTCTGTCCCAGCCAAAACTAGGACACTCAGTGTGACTGTGTTTCTGAATTTAATGAGGTTACTTAAGAGGTCTAGATTTTAAAATAATTTAGCTGGATAGCTTTATGTCCAGTTTAGAAATATTGTTAATTTCCCTTCTGTATGAAAGAACAGAAAAGCAAATAGCAGAAACAGTTATCCCAACTGCATCACTGTTCTCCTTCAACAGTGATAAATGGAGCACTAGTTTTTCCTTCATCTGTCACACATCCAACAAAGCTATGTGGCCCTGTCTTCCTGCTCTAAAATGTCAGAAATGTGTAATTTCATTTCCAAAACAGAATACACCTAATTAATAAGTTAAATACGGAGCATCTCTTTTGACACAGTTTTATGGCATCTTCTTTCTAACCCAGAGAAAAAGAACCTCTTGTATACAAGCATCAACATCCCTATTTTTTCAATGGCAGTCCCTTGTAATAACTTTCCCTATCATAACACACATTTTACTCTTCCCACAGGTGCACACATGCAGAAAAAAAGAACACAGCTGAATGCCAACATATGCTCCTAATACTTACCATTTAAACCTTCAGACATTTCCACAACATATGTATTTATTGCTGCTCCTCCATTGTCTTTTGGTGGATCTATAAAAAACAGCAATATTCCTACTAGGCGAGGTAAATGAAATGGTTTTGTAGCTTTTGGGGAGAATTTACAAAAGGCAAAATTAACAGCCGACTGGAGATGGGTGCTTATTTAGACTGAGAGCATCCTAGCTAGCCACAGCATCCTAGTTTAGGACAGCCGCAAATCACTCAAATTCTCCACTATGCGAAGCTGCCAGCTCACAACCCTACTGTACACTCTACAGATGAAGAGTGACAAGTGAATCAGGCACCTGGGAGATGCCACAGGAAACATTTCAGTTAGTCTGAAGTGCCATGGAAGGCTGCCTGATTATGGTTTCAGGGACATAGATCCTAATGGTCCTGTAATTTGGACTGCAGATAGGAGATTATCGTACTGATTTGCATATAAGGATATTTCAAAATGATTTAAGGACAAGATTTCAAAAACCTAAATATTTTGGGAGAGAACAGAAGTCAGGAGTTCTAAATGAAAACTTCATCTCTTAGATTTTTAATACATTACTAGAAATTGAGTGCTCTATCCTCCCTGGTACAATATTCATGGACAAGATATGAACCTACAGACCTACCTTTGACATATAATCCTACCACCCTTTCTCAGAGCTGACTTAGAGAACAGCAGAATTAAAATAATGTGAAAAACCAACATTTTGGACAAATATAAAGACAGCATGATACTTCAACACAGAAGGGTACTGCTGCAACAACATTACATTATGTAAGTGCTGGATGAAATGGTGTTGGCTCTTAGGCAAGGGTTACAGATCATATCACACCTGCTAAATAAAATAAGACTTATTATATGGCGCATAGCACTTTTTTTGTTGGAAGGTAACGAATTACTCCAAATGAAAAAGAAAATTATCACTTATTAAAAAAAAGAGAGTATTACTGTTCAAAATAATGACTATTAAAGGTTTTATATAAAAATACATATTTTAGATAGTTTTCAATTTACAAATTAGGTATTTCTAATAACTTCATACATTATGTGTCATCCATAAAAGATAAACTATCAGGCCCTGATGGAGCAAAGCACTCTGGAAAGATGCAAGACTGGACTTGCTGAGTACTACTTATACTCTACAAGTAGCTTTCTTATTGTTAGTGCAAAAGAATTAAACACACTATTAAACAGAAATAGCTAAGAAGTTTAATTATCTGTGACAATAAATAAAACGTTTATCTGTGTGATTTTCTGCTAAAGCACTGCATCTAACAGTACTGTTTCACCTTCTCCTATTTCAGAGCATAAGGCTAAAAAAACCCTGAGCCTAAGGAAAAGTTTCTTAAGATCCCTAGTGAATAAAAATATTTATCTATCAAAACCAAACACTTTGAAGAGATAGGTTGAACTTTGATCTTCTCTTTTGATAAGAACCCAGAATTTCGTGGCATCTACTTTTTGTGCCAGAGAAACAGAACTTCTTAGTACACAAATTAACACTACTCTTTTTTTAATTATTGTAGTCCCCTGCAATAACAGTCCCTATTACAATTTGTATATTATTCTTCCCACATAATTACACTATTATACTGCCACCCTAAGTATTTTGAATCAATATTTTTCTCTTAGTTCCATAAAAATGGATCATAACGGCTCAGTTGACTGAAGTGTTACTGAAGTAAAACCTGGCCTTCTATATAGAAAT